TACCAGCGAGTTCTACTGTAGCAGCCGCCTAATACAGTTGTACGGTGACAGCCGCCGAGTTATAAAGTAACAGCCAGCCGACTACAAGTTGGAGTATAGCAGCCGTCGCGGAAAGAAGATCCGGACGTGTGTGTAATTGTGTAATTGGGAGCGTGTGATACAGTGATACCTAGCTCCCCTACTGTAAACGTGTAGACTACTGAAGACAGAGTGAACTGATTTGCGCATAGGGTTATAAGTCGTGAAACCCCGCAACTGTGTGACAATTAATTGTAGCCATTTCTTGTAGATTGTTGAATAAACAAATTAACGATCTCTACGGCATCTTCAGTAACGTAAACACGTTACAATATGTAAGAAAAATTTTCGATATTAATCCCAATATGTAAACATGTTGTTTGCTGAAGTTATTGTCAGCCATAGCAAATATTATAGGTGTTATTTGGAACCGTTTATTTTTTCTTGTCCACTTTATTATGATTTCTTCATACATTAATACTTCTTGCCATTAAGCAGACAATAAGACAAGGAAAACTTAGATTTGAGATGCCTTGAAAACCTACATATGCAATACTTGGAACCCTTGTTTCTAATACTGCCAAAATGTATTTTTATTTACTTTAAAAAACTGTAACAACAGGATGCTAAATACAACATTAGGAAACAGATGTTTTGAAAATGTGGCACAGTTCAGATATTTGGGAACAACGATAACAGATCGAAACCTGATTCAGGAAGAAATTAAGAGGAGACTGAACTCAGGTAATGCTTGCTACCATTCAGTCCAGAACCTTTTGTCTTCTCGTCTGCTGTCCAAAAACATAAAAATTAGAATATACAAAACTATAATTTTGCCTGTGGTTCTGTATGGGTGTGAAACTTGGTCTCTGACATTAAGGGAGGAACACAGACTGAGGGTGTTTGAGAACAGGGTGTTGAGGAGAATATTTGGGCCGAAGAGGGATGAAGTGACAGGAGGTTGGAGAAAACTGCATAATTAGGAGCTTCATAATTTGTACTCTTCTCCAAGTATCATTAGAATAATCAAGTCAAGGAGGATGATGTGGGCAGGTCATGTAGCACAAATGGGGGAGACGAGGAATGTGTATAGGATATTGGTAGGAAAGCCATAAGGAAAGAGACCACTGGGAAGACCAAGGCATAGGTGGGCAGATAATATTAAAATGGCTCTTAGAGAGAGATAGGATGGCATGGATTGGATTGATCTGGCTCAGGATTGAGACCAGTGGAGGGCTCTTGTGAACACGGTAATGAACCTTCAGGTTCCATAAAATTCTGGGAAATTCTTGAGTAGCTGCAGATTTGGCTTCTCTCAAGTAGGGCTCAGCTCCATAAGTAAGTAACATGTTTCACTGTAATTACCATAATTCTCTACAGTCTGCAGCACATTCATGTATGCCCGGACACTTGCCAACAGCTCCGATGGTTTGGCAACCTCACTCGTGTCAGAGTTGTACATCACCATTCCAACTAAAGCTCGTGCAAACCTGTTCTCCAGGTGCTGTGTAAGATACTCTCGTGGAGCAAATGTGTACTCCCATACATTGATAGTGGCACAATAGTTGATTGCAAAGCAGAGTTCTGTTAATGCCATGTGTAGTTTGTCCATCCTGAACAAAAGGATCATTCAAAACACCTCATGAAATAATAGTTAAATAGTAAGCAACAACATGAAATATAAACTGCAAAGAACAGTATTTCCTCTGTTGTGCGGAACTGAAATTAAAAGAAGAAACAGGTCACTGGAAACATGGTACAGGTCATATCTGTAAATGGCAGGAGAGAAAATAGTGAAAGAAACATTTGAGGACCGTCTGTGTCCTCCATCACAGGACATGGACTGACTTCAACAGGTTAAAGTTTATTATGGTTTCACTAATCACTTCTGGTGCAACATAATATAACTCTGGTATGTTTCACCTCTGTATATTCTAAAGCCTTTTATTCTTTCTTCTTCACATCACTGATCCAAACCGAGCAATTGAAAAGAAAATGAAACCATACCTTGTCAATAATAGTGTAAATCACATATACTGCAGTACTGATTTTTGTGGCAAAATCTAATGAAAAAACTGATTTCTTTCACTTTCACAGCAATAATACAAATTACATGTAGAAAAGTGGTACATGGTACACCTCATATGATGGAAGGCAGGTGCAGTTGTACATATTTAGTGTTCAAAACTCCCAGCCCTTAAATGATGTTACACAAAACTGATTTCCTAAAGGGTTTTGATGACAGTGTATTACACTCACGATTACTGAGTTTCTGAATTTTGTCCATCATTTAATATTCTAGTCAACCCAGTAAGTGCCTCACCAACCATTCACCTGAGAATGGAAACGGATCCAGTTACTGAAAGTGTTCTTTCAGAATGTTGGATAAATGAAGGTCAAGAACTCAGAAATCCAGAAAACTGATTTTATTTAATATACATAAAATGCAATAAGAAACAATATCTAATAAATAAACTACGTGATAGCACAAACTTACGTAGTGAGGTCTTCTCGAGTTTTCCTGTAACTCTCTGCACCAGGCTTCGCTATTTCAGGAGCACTTTTCTTATTTTTGTCCTTTTTCTTTCTGTTCACCACTTGAGAAATCAAAATGGCACAGTGTTTTGGAAGCAGCTAAATATGAATTAGAAACACCACACATCAACTCTCTTTAACTATTATACAAAACCCAATAAACAAACTATTTTTTCATTAAACTACAATATGACAACTATAAAATACATACCTTGTCGCTCATTGTGCACTGCTCATCACAGATTGTTGTGATTATATTTTTCGCCTCTTTGGCCATTTCATCAAGAAACATATTCACTACAGACAAACTTCGTTCTCGTATGTGATGTCTCTGAAACATCACAAAGAACAATCACTGCATAAAAATACAAATATAGCACAGTCAGTATAGCAACTGGCTATGGACTGGATGACCGAGGGGTGGGAGCTCAGTCTTGGTGGGGGAAAGACTTTTCTTTTCTTCACATTGTCCAGAATGGCTCTGGAATCAACCCAGTTTCCTATCCAATGGGTTCCAGGGGCGTTAAGCTGACCACTCACCTCCAACTAGTGCCAAGCTCAAGAAAATGTGGATCTATACATCCACTCCCCCATACGCCTTCATGGTGTAGTGCTTAATTAGTTAAGCACAGGTACAACTTTACCTTTTACCTTCTATTAATTCCCTTATACAAATATCAGTCATAAATATGTGAACACACTTTCAGAAATCAATTACCATTTTTACCTGTACATGAGGCATGCTTTGAATTCATTTTACTCTAAAATCAGGAGTGCATTCTACATGTTTAATGCTGTCATGTTCACAAAGAACTAGAGTTTTTTAATACAATCTACATTAATGCACTTGATATTATGGCTGGCCTTTTCATGCGTATTATCATAAGTATGACCATAACTAATGCTGTAGGTACTGGAATGTGTAAAGCAAAAGATATGAATAAAAATGTGATACAAAATAAGGAGGAACTTTATTTGAAGTTAGAATTATTCTTAAAATAGATTTAACAAATTTAAATTAAAAGAAAGAGAAAGGAACATATACTGAATACTGATACAAAAATAACAAACAATTACAATTCATTTTAAAGAAAATGTATTCTTCTATTCTGAATATTAGAGGGAAATCAGTAAAAATAGTCTCACATAACTTAAATGCATGGTTATAAGTACATTTTATGGCTGTGCCCCACCCCCAGAACAAAACTCTGGTGGTGATGTCTGTGCTTTGTTATACTTCTGTTTGCTACTAGTGCTATTAACCTTTACACTTCCTGGCTCAACAGGGCATTTTTGCTGCACCCATATTCTTATGGGTGTGATCTTCATAAACATATATCATACAAACTAACTTTCTAAGTCGCTGGCTTTCCACCATGGCAGCCCAGGTTCAAGGCCGGTTCTGGTCATGTGGGATCTGTGGTGGGCAAAGTGGCACTGGGGCAGGTTTTCTCCAAGTACTTCGGTCTCCCCTGCCAATCTTCATTCCACCAACTGCTCTACAATCACCATCATACATCATACATATTTTTGGAATATGCTTGGGGGTAAAGGGCGGCTGGTGCGTAGGGCTGACAACCTTACCGCCAACTATGAGCCAACTGTTTAGGAAATGTGGGAACCTCAAAATCTCATAACCCTATGGGCCTCCACGGCCTGTTACAGGATACCTTTACTTTATCAGTTTACTAACTTGCCATAATAATTTCAAGACAACATTCATGTTTTAAATTACTTACCTCTTCTGGGCACAACTCATGGGTGCAACTCTGAAAGTGGCCACATATCAAAGGAAAGGCCACAATGTAACGATTCTGAGCTGGAAACTCCAGACACATGTGAAACTGATCTTCAAATATCTTGTTGTAAAAACTGACATGAAAACAGACAGGAACTTACAGATCTCTTGGAAAATAAAATGCCAATCACTTCATAGCATTCAAATTACAGTGCGTGTGATGCTTGAAACATAATAGTGTACCTCAGTTTTTTTAAATTAATCAGGTTCTGCAAGTCAAACTAAAGCACCATAACACCACAAGATGTAAATATGACATGCTCACATCTTCATTCTAGTTCTCTTATATTTTTGACATACCACAGTTTTCATAATGTCTCAAATGAAACCTCAAGTTGGTGACCACTATGACTGCGGAACTTGGAAAGAATATGATTTGTTATTACTCTGTTCCATTTATCAACTTTCATTTCTTTTATTTAAGTCAATTCAAATTAGTGTAAAGAATGATTTATGCAGACAATTAGTACTTACCAAAATATGGACAGATCTGATGTCTCCACCAAAATCTCATCTAAATAATCTACCATTTTGGAATGGAAAACAACCGTGTCCAGAAGAGATGCCAATTCACGATTTTCTGACAATACAAGTTGTGCCTTGTTCATAGAAGTGTATGCCTGAAATCTTATCCAATCAAGTCGAATTGCTCGAAAATCGAACATCTCATTTTCTTCAACTGAAAATATCAGTGACACTCAGTTCAATTTCATTAATCTCCACAAATGGAAATTTTTTGTACTCATTCACATATGGGTTAATATGTTAATGATTAGGATATAAATGTACTGCTTCTATCAACACAAATTCAAATATTCTTTTGGCAACTGAATATGTTTGAGAACATACAGAGGTAAAGTATTTTACTTAACCAAAGACCTAAGGTACAACTGCTAAAAACAAGTTATGTCTTTTATGGTATTTATTTCTCATCCTTAAATGCTTCTGCTTTCAACAGGCTCCAACAGAGCTTAACAGCATACAGTTAAATGTCATTACAACAAACTTCAGACCTCACAAATACATTCATAAACAAGAAATTTCTCTTAAATTAAAATGTGATGTGTAAAAATTATGCACAAATATAGTATATATACATAAAACATATCGATTTTTGTAACAAAGCATTAGAATCTCAAATTCATCCACCTACAAGCAAAAGGTGGGCAATGCTGTACATAAACACATTTTTTAGAATATGGAACTATAAATCCTTAACCAAATTTAATGATAAACAATTACATTAATCTGATACAAAATGTAAAATAATTTTACACAGCAGCCACAATACATTTTTAGCCTCTTGAGGAATAGGATTTAAATTCCAAGACACACTCCACAGCCTCAGTTTTTCAAGAGGGGTGGATGTTCTTATAAATAGGAAGATTTATTTAAATTTTGTTTTGTTTCACATTTTAAATTCAAACTGAATAAAAAATTAGGCTCATACATTAATATTAACAACAGATAATTTTACAGAAAAGAGATTATATGAAGGATTAAGCTAATCCGATTGGCTACATCCACCACCTCACCAAATATGTGTAATCTTATAAACAGAATAGGATTACATTACCTTGTTTCACAGACAGGCCCTGAATGGTGTTGCAAATGGAAGACAGAATGATACTTTCATCTTCAGGGCACACTTGTAGATTCTGAACCATCTGGTTTAGAGAAATGGCATCATATCCTGTAAGGTACTGGACATAGTAACGCTGCATAACTTGGCTGTACTTCCGAACCAGAACTGCACATATAAAAAAAGGCTATTCATAGAAGCTAACTGATTTACAGTCTATGTCAAAATGAAGAGCCACACACACATGAAATGGCTGATTTTACAATGTAACACTTTATTTCTAGTAAAAGCAGCCCTAAAGACCTTTTTTCATATGAGTGACTGCATATTCATTACCAAAAATCTAAATTATGGCATGTTTCTAATTCTACGTTATCAGTTTTGAAATTTCAAATTTTCTTCCTTAATGGAATACCTCGGAACAAGTATTTTGATTACTGGGTTTTTGGACTTCTTCCATCATCTGGAATTCTAGGTAATACAGGACACAACATTTCGGAAACTGCATCTGTTTCCGTCTGGTCCAGTGATTGAGATTAGCTCTCTCTAAGGGGCCCAACTGAGTAGGCGTCTTCCTTTCTCACCTGAAGACAGAAACAGATCCAGTTTCCAAAACGTTGTGTCCTCCAATTCTGGATGATGGAAAAAGTCCAAAAACCCAGTAATTCTGTCATCCTCCATTGTCAGAACCCTTTAGAATCTACAAGTATTTTGGTACGTACATTTTGTGACATTACAGTCATGTCCACAAGAACAG